GCCAGACCGTTTCCATTTTTTGTGTGCTTTTGATTTTTCTTTAATTATTTTTATTAAAGCGGGACTGTACCAGATAGGGTATTTATATTTATTATGATAGGACTTAAGTGGTAATAAAAGTTATCACAAGCCTCTTGGACCGTGCTAGATTGTAATTGTGTTCACCAATCGATGATATTTAGAGTCTCATTTAGTTTATCATAATTGGTTTTATTGAAATCATATTTAGGCTTAGATGCTTCAGTAAACGGTGTGATTGAGACGTCTAAAATTTCCAGTACTAACGGATGATGGGCGCGGTCAACCTTTATAAGGGGCGAATTGCAAATTGCGACTTCAAGTGGAAGATTTGAAAATGCGAAATCTAAAGTATTACCGGCATAATTTTTAAAACTGTTATATTGCTTGAGACCGAGAAAGCTCAGTTCATCTGTTAACCTTACACCAGCACTTTTAATTTCAGCATTGCCTTTATTTAAATGTATTGGGCCCTGAGTACTCCATGAGATGCATGGAAGATTAAAATCACCGATAACTAAAATATTTTTACCAGTACTATTTGAGATTACCACAGATTTTAGTGTTTGCAGTAAGCAATCTATTTCAACTGGCATATGTGAAATATTAGGAGGGATGTAAATCGCAATAATGTACAAATCTGCAGTAGCAGAAATTGCATGTGCCGGTACTAACAGCATTAACATATCAGGCGGTGAGCAGTTATTCAGACATTCAGTGACTAAGGGAGTTGCACATAACTCATTACGCACTAAGATCATGACCCCGCCTCCTGTCTTTTTATCACATGATAATAGGTCTCGATCACACCGAAAAACTTCGTACCGATCGTCACATAATTCTCCGTTGAAAATCCCGTTATGCAACCATATCTCAATTATTACAATAATATCATAATCATTTCTTAAAATCTGCTGTCTTAATTGCAAGCATTTAGTTCTCAGCCCCCGTGTATTTTGATAATGTTACGCGCTCAAGTCAACGATACGCTAGCGCCATCTAGTGTCAGGAACGAGAGCGAGGGGAGCATTGAGAAAATGACATCACAAATCACTCAACCGACAGCGCCTAGTCGAAACTCGAACGCTCGGTACCTTGCGCGTGTTTACTTGAACATTCTGGATATTTCTTTGCTAATTTAAATATATAGGCACTGCAAGATGCAGAACAGAGTTGAACTCGGCGACACAAGCGAAGCTTCGGAGCGGAATTAAGTGAATTAGTGTGTTTAATTATTAGTGTTTTTAGTTTTAATTTGTGTAAAGTAAATTAAAGTGTTAATTTAGGTAATTTTATCGGCAATCTTTATTGTCACGAACCTCAAGCTCGTAACAATTGGTGTCAGAAGTGGGATAAAATCATGCCGATTTTACCTAAGGAGGAAACGGAGGGTGTCCGTACCCGAAATCAACGCCAGCAGGAGACGGACCAAAGAAGATTTGGTGGTGCAACGCCGCAGACGTCGGAGGGCCAGCCGCCGGCTGCAGGCCTGTCAGTAGCTCCTACATCTGCAGCACCCGATTTAGGTACTCTGATGGTGATGCTGCAGGAACAGGCTCGCCGACAGGAGGAACAGGCCCGTTGGTTGAAAGAGCAGCAGGAGGAACAGGCCCGCCGACAGGAAGAGCAGATGCTCCTCGTGAAGGACATTCACGCTAACTTCGGGAAAGAGATTAGGGAGGTGAAGGATAGGGTTGCTCAACATGACAACCGCCTGTCGGAAGCTGAAACCCAAATCAAGGAAGCTAAAACCCAAATCGACCAAGTAAACAATCGGGTTGATTACGTGATGGCTGACGTGAAGAAAACGCTGGACGACCTCAAACTGGGAGATGGAACTACATTCCCGTAGTAGCTATTACACCTTCGCTACGTGGGTTCAAGGTGCCACCATTCGACAGGACTTCTTCCTGGTCCGCCTACAAAATCCAGTTCGAGGCTGTTATGAAGGCGAACGGCTGGAATAAAAGTCAGGCCATGACTGCTCTCACACTAGGCCTGCGCGACCAGGCCTTAACAGTTCTGGAAGCTCTCGGTGAAGAAGTGACTTATGAGCAACTCCTTGAGGTATTGGAGGCGAGATATGGCGACGCTCACCTGGAACACGTCTTTCGTGCGCAGCTTAAAGATCGTGTGCAGCGCATCAACGAAAACCTGCAGCAGTGGGCTCTAGAAGTGGAGAAGCTGGTGCGAAAAGCATAGCGGTCTGTACCTGCGCTCATTGAAGGGAACCTGGTTCAGACATTCATCGACGGCATCCGTGACCTGGAAGTCAGAGCTGCTGTGAGGCTCGGGCACCACGAGACGCTTAAGAACGCCTTGGCCCATGCACTGGAGGTGGAAGCCGTGCGGCTGGATCATCGTTTCCATCGCGTCAGGGAGGTTGCAGCAGCTACAGTTCGCGACCGCAACAAAGGATACAGCCCAAGGTGCTATGGCTGTGGGCAAAAGGGGCCATCTTCGATCCAGCTGCCCTAAGCGAACCGTGGAAAGGAGAGTTAATCGATCTCGAGAGGGTCGTGCAGCTAATGGCACCGCCTGGCGGTGGCAGGATCGTCGTTCCTCTAGCGCTAGGGTGGTTGCCGCAGTTACAGTTCGCGACCACAATAAAGGATACAGCCCCAGGTGCTATGGTTGTGGGGAAAGGGGCCATATTCGGTCCAGCTGCCCCAAGCACACCCTAGGAAGGGAAGGTGAACGGTCTCAGAAAGGAAGTGCGGCTAATAGCACCGCCCAGCAGCAGCAGGAATACGACCTTACTATCGAACATCGCAGCGGGAAATCTCACGGCAACGCAGATGCATTTTCAAGAAGACCTTGTCCTGAAGATTGCAACCATTGTAGTAGGCAAGAGAGTAAGGAGGTGGTATCCGTGAGGATGCTCAGGACAGACCACCTCAGCAACGGGTGGAAGGACAGCCTACGACATGCACAGCAGGAAGATCCGGACATCAAGCCGATTCTGGGATGGATGAAGGCCCGTGCTACCAAGCCTAAGTGGAGGGACGTCTCAGCGATGAGTTCAACCACGAAAAGCTATTGGGCCCAATGGATTCAGGATGAAGTCCTGTGCCGTAAATAGGACAATGGTCGAAGAGACAGCTGTCGTTTGCAAATGGTTGTCCCTAAAGCTAAAGTGCCGAATGTTTTACAGCTGTGCCATAATGGTCGTTCAAGAGTCCATTTGGGAGTTAAACGAACTCTACTGAAGGTCCGAGAACAGTTTTACTGGGTCCATTATCGTGACGATGTCGTGGATTGGTGTCGTACATGTACAAGTTATGCGGCTGTGAGGGGACCTCCAGACACGTAGTAGAGGAGCACCGAAATTGTACAATGTTGGTGCACCACGGGATAGGACAGCCCTTGACATTGCGGAGCCGTTACAGAAAGGCGCAAGAGGGACTCCTAAGATCGTCCATGTGAATCGCTTGGCGCGTTATTATGGGGCCGATAATGCTCGGGACGAGCATGTCTTAGGAGGCGGCAGTGTTACGCGCTCAAGTCAACGATACGCTAGCGCCATCTAGTGTCAGGAACGAGAGCGAGGGGAGCATTGAGAAAATGACATCACAAATCACTCAACCAACAGCGCCTAGTCGAAACTCGAACGCTCGGTACCTTGCGCGTGTTTACTTGAACATTCTGGACATTTCTTTGCTAATTTAAATATATAGGCGCTGCAAGATGCAGAGCAGAGTTGAACTCGGCGACACAAGCGAAGCTTCGGAGTGGAATTAAGTGAATTAGTGTGTTTAATTATTAGTGTTTTTAGTTTTAATTTGTGTAAAGTAAATTAAAGTGTTAATTTAGGTAATTTTATCGGCAATTTTTATTGTCACGAACCTCAAGCTCGTAACAATAATATTATATTTTTAGATCTTTACTTTTATTTAACGTATCGAACTTAGAACTTAGAATACTACCAATTGTTTACAACTTATAGTATAAAAGTTATTATACAACTGGAAAATATTACTAATAAATATAATTGTTTTGTAAAATAGAGGGGCTGAAACACAAAAACACAGATTACAATACTGTGTACAAAAGTGATGTTGATTATAGGTTGACAGAAAAAAGCGATGAATAGTTTTCGTGTTTGATTCATTTGATATAAATATCGAACTAGTATAACGTATTATATGTTCATCCTTTGTAAACCATGTATATAAATATGTGTTAATATTTAAGTTTCCCACTAATGTAAACAGAACGAATAAAATGTATAAATAAATCCATATTGGAAGTTTAAATAATGCATTATTATTAACTATTTGAAGGTATTGTAAGAATTTATTTTTACGCTCCAGCACTAATGTTCTTTTAGAAGTGATAAATATGACAATGAAGTTAAAATGCGTTATAGGTCGATCACTATAAACAGGTGCGATAAATGATTTTAGTGATAACGTATATGTATAGAATTTGATGTTAAATATTAATATATTAAAAACAGTGATTTTTAAGCGGCTTAATGTTAGTTTATGATAATTTTGTTTGAAATATGCAAAGTAAATTATATTCTTAGGAAAGAGATAATTTTTGTTATCAGTGCCATTATGACAAAGAAATAATAATTTATTAGCTGCATCATTTAAATTCTGCAAAATTTTTGTAATGTTAGCTTTTGTACATGAAATGTGACCGTGCACAATTCGATGCACATTAATTAAGCGTACAAATAACATTGTAAGTAACGTGTTTTCTAGCATAGAGTACCTATTCCGAACAGAGCTGGCAAATAAAGGTTTTTTCATAAACATTAAATATTGATAATTCAAACTAAATATAGCTATTGAGACATATCTCAGACAATTAACGTTATAAGTACAGTACACATTATATAATACGGAAATATATAAATTTAACAACGAAAAAGATTATTAAAGAGAATACTTATTTAGAAACACTTAATTTCTTGAGATCCTCTTCGCTTATGATCTTTAAAGCGGGAGAGTTGTCGTTTTTTCGCACTAATATTAACCCATTTTTACCCAGACGAACTGATGCTGTTTTATTTTGGCCAATTCCTTACATTTTGTCAATAGTTGTTTATTAAAGGGGGTTAAATGTTCTTTAATATATATGGGTCTGCTTTCTCCTGTTACATCAATATCTCTTGAGGTAATCCGAGCTTTGCGGCCCCGTGAAATTATGTTGTCCTTCAAGAGCCTTGTCCGCATTTTAGCTATTATGACTCTGGGACGACCTTGTAATTTTATTTTCGAAGAAACTCTGTTCAATTGTAAAATATCATTTGGCGGAATATCGACACCAATATGTTTTCCAATGTTCAAAATAAGGTCTTGAAGATTTTCGCTTTGTCCGGCATCATTCTCTCTCTGTTTACTTGAGTTCAGTTGTGATTGTAATTGCATATTTTGCTGTTTTATTTTAACAATTTCCATCTCTATTTCACGTGTTTTCTTAGTATCGACAGCTAAAGTTTCAATCTTTTTTGCTTGCTCGTCTTGCTGGTCAGCATTGAATTGTACCGACTGTTGGAGACTATCAATTTCTTTTTGTGTTGCGACTTGCTGAGTTTTTAATCTTACTATGTCAGTCTTAATCTCTGTGTATTCCTTACGAATATTATTGATCTCTGCCTTCACCTCGACTACAATCTCGTTCAGTTTTGCAAGGTCGTTCTTAATCAAATTATTTATAGTGTCATTTATTTGAAGTAAATTATTATTAAAATCTGTCCTCCAATCATCCATCTTTTTCAATATATTATCAGTGAATAATTTGAATGAATCTGAAATATTGTGATCATACTCGCGTTTTTGAGAATTTCGGAATCAAAACGTTTATTTGTTGGAGAGCGCTGCATTATCAAAAAATATCACTTCTTTACGTTCATTAATCTATGCATGTGCGAATAGCTTGATATATTACCGATCTTTGTGCGTAGAGGTGGGGATCGCAGTTACACGTAGACTGATGTTTGACTGCACCCGTCGATCATCGAAATTGAGTACGATTCTCAATATTATGTCTATAGCAATAAGACACTTTTTCAAAAATATTTACTGTTTGCAATGTTTTTAAAAATCCCTCGATAGTCTGAATACGTCCGTCCACAATAACGCGTGGTCGTACAATGATGATGATGATGTGATGTTCTTCAACTCCATTTTGTGGATTATACCTTAGCACTGTAACCTTGCAGTCCTCCTTCTCCTCTTCAGCAACACCCAAGAAAAGGAGAGCCTTTCGTCGATGCCTGGTCTCAATAGCGTCAACCATATGGGAGCACTCATTAATTTGTTTACGGAGCATACCAAGCATAGAGAACATGAGTTCACGGAAGGTTTGAAACTCCTCAGCCACCTTACAACCGTGTCCTTGGTGGATCCCCCCGTGTGCTTACAGTTCGGCCATCCTTTTTGAAAAGCATTACTCCAAACTGTTCTGTGCAGTTCTAATCTCATCAAGTTGAGACATTGTGTTGTGCCAAGATATATATGAAATCCAAGTGTGTGTAATATGCTGGCAGGTGGTGTATTTAGATGGAATGAATTCACATATACACAGTTGTACAAATGCGATTACCAAGAAAATGGTGTTAATTAGCACTCAAATAACTAACAAATTATGTAGAATATTGAATAAGTTAATTTAAAATACAAATTAAAATTTTACGTATGTGTTAAATTTTTCTTCACCTACCGAAGAAAACAATTTTTTTTATTAATTATTTTAATTAATAGAAACAATTTTTTTTATATATATTTTGTTTCTATTAATTAAAATAATCACACATGTAAGCGATGCATCTTTGCCAAGCAATGCCAGTTTATTGAAGAAATAAACTGGATGGGAGGCAAGAAATTTTCAAAGGCATTATTTATTGCCTCTTGGGTATAAAATTTTTGTACGGCCAAAAATTATCCAAATTTTGTAAAATTTATCCTAAGTAGAAGTCTGTACGCGCAAGGCCTTGTGAGTACGGCTGCTGACGGAGAACTTCCAAGCTCAGCTCTTGTAACTTGGATACCGTCTGTTGTTGTCTGTGCAGTATAAGGTTGCTCGTTATCTTGTAGGAAGAGGAGAAACGAGCGATTGACCAAAGCTGGTTGCAGATGTGCGAGTTTCTTCATCATTGTGTATAGTTCTTCTTACAGATCATGTCGTTTGGTAACAAACAGCTATGAATCATACTGGCGTTAGACCACCGAACATTGACCAGACCAGTTTTAGTTTAGGGCACTGTTAAGGTGCTGTACCTGGATCCAACCAACTTGCTGAGCGCTTTCTCGCAATTTGATGCAATTGAAAAAATATTGTTTTGATGTTTACGTCAAAAGCTGCTGCTACTTCAGCCCTAGATTGAAAATTATAATGCATAATCACCTTTAATTATCAATCAAAGTTTTCGAACGATCACGGAGTTTTATCAGGTTGAAATTTCCAGAAAAAAAAAGCGGAAAAACCAATAACAGGTGGTACGTTCGTTTACAGTATTCACGTCGTGAACGTAGTGTTGCGTGGTGCTTTTGCTGCGTTGCTGCCACGACTGTACTCATTTTCCATAAATATTTGAATATTTAACGTACCTAAAATGAGGCAAAAGATTCAAATGCGATGAAAATGTAACGATTATAAATAAACAAATGACTAATTTTAAAAAAGGATTAAATTTTTTTTAAATAAAATTAATTTGAAATAAGAATTCTTAGCCACACAAAAAAAATTAATGGCTATTACTGTAAAACGGAAATTTCATAGGGTTCATACCTATAATTACCAGATGTTAAAATGCGTAGTAAGCCCAAAAGAAAGAAACTCGTAAAGTTCAAAGCTTCCATTGTCTCGCAGTCGTCAGATTTCAACTTGGTCTAGATTAAGAATAGACAAGGCGTGCTTCTTTTTCATATCTTTTGTATTTGCAAATCCTTGGAGAGTTTTCAATGACAACAGATAAATTACCATACTCTTTCTTTAATTAATGTTTTTAAAGAAATAAAAGTATATAAATTTAAGAATAAAACTCTGCTTGTTAAATAAAATTCCGGTCAGCTAGTCTTAAAAACTTAATACAATGATGGAATAACATACAAGTGAAATACAATGATGGATTAACATATAAGCGTCACATTACCTTCCACTTCTTCGTTAGGCAGTAAGTTCTCAAGTACTCATGTTCCATAAATATGTGAATATTTAACGTACTTATAGTGACGAAAAGATTCAAATGAGATCAAAACGTAACACTTATAAATAAACAAATGACTAATTTTAAAAAAGAATTCAATTTTTTTAAATAAAATTAATTTTAAATTAGAATTCTTAGCCATACAAAAAAAATTTAATGGCTATTACTGTAAAACGGCAATTTCATAGGTTTCATATCTATAATTACTAGATGTTAAAATGCGTAGTAAACCCGAAAGAAAGACACTCGTAAAGTTCAAAGCTTCCATTGTCTCGCGGTCGTCAGATTTCAACTTGGTCTAGATTAAGAATAGACAAGGCGTGCTATCTTTTGTATTTGCAAATCCTTGGAGAGTTTTCAATGACAACAGATAAATTACCATCCTCTTTCTTTAATTAATGTTTTTAAAGAAATAAAAGTATATAAATTGAAGAAGAAAACTCTGCTTGTTAAATAAAATTTCGGTCAGCTAGTCTTAAAAAGTAATACAATGATGGAATAACATATAAGTGAAATACAATGATGGAATAACATATAAGTGAAATACGATGATGGAATAACATATAAGTGAAATACTATGATGGAATAACATATAACTGAAATACAATGATGGAATAACATATAAGTGAAATACAATGATGGAATAACATATAAGTGAAATACAATGATGGAATAACATATAAGCGTCACATTTCCTTCTACTTCTTTGTTAGGCAGTAAGTTCTTTACTTGGTAGAGCCACGCTGAAGTTATGTTAAAGTTGTAGCATGAATAAGTTGACTCGACCGGCCAAGAACACGCTCTCACAGATTACCAGCGTAAAATAGCAGCTTAATGCTGCCGTATTTCTTATGGTGAGTGTAGAGAGCCAGATACCTTTATTATTATTATTAGAAACAAGACGATTTTATCTTAGTCCCCAGGGGTGATACGTTATCTACATATAGATTCCTTTTAGAGAATAATTGTAGACGTCTATGAGCCACTGCATCCATCTACCGTCAAGTGGTCTTGCGCTCGTTTGACAGAATAGATTAATTCGTTTACTGTGCTGGAATCCAGTGCTGGGCATGGACCGCTCCTTGTTTAGTTCATCTCATTTGGCAGGTGGACGATCGCAGTAACAGATTTCTCGATTTTATTATAGACACACGGTACAAATAGGGGTATTCCCTTACCTTTATCAATTGTTGTACGTATATATTTTTTTATAATGTACGTAGAGTATTTTGTAGTTCTATAGTTATATGAACTTTCGAAATCGATATCATCAAAATCAGCCAAATATAGCGAACATAGCTCCCACAGACCTAGGGAGCAGCATTAACAGTGTGAAAGTCCCTATTCTGCACTAACCAACCCGCCTATCTAGTGAAAGATATGAGCAAGTCCATAAAGAAGTATACGACACATTCTGGGAAAGAATCTGGAGACCATAGAATCTTTCATCTAAAAATAGACGAATAATGGAAAAGGTAACGTTGAAAGAAATGTGAGTAATATGAGCTTTAAAAAATAATTGGAAATAACCGTGTGAAGGTGTTTCGTTTCTTTATTCACAATGTAGTTACGGTGAAAAATATCCACAACACCCTATCAGACCGTGGTTGTCGTGAGAAGAACAAGGGGAAATACCCCAACGGGCATAGTAACGACAGTGAGACTCAGAATTACGAGAACGAGTGGGAAATTATAGTTCTACCTTCATTTGTTCGTACTTCCTTTTATTTTTTTACCATCATTCCCAATAATATTGTAAATTAATTTTATTAAAAAATACTCCTCCTGGGTTTGTTGCTAGTTCTTCCCAGGTCAGAAGTATTTCCGAACCAGTGGTAAAATTTATATGACTTTTAATAAGTATACTTGTAATCTAAACTGAATAAAAATGATTCTATTCTATTCTATTCTTTACCATATTTGGCTGCATGGCAACTTACCATCATGCGGGGCAGCAGTCAAACACTGGCTTGTAATCGTTGAATAAAATATACTTATGAAACAATAACATGTTAATTGAAAAGTTGCTTCAATATTCAAAGAATTAAGTCCATAAAAAAAGATTAATAAAAGAACTGAACCAAGGAATGTAAAGAACAAAAATACAACTTTCCAAAAGCAGTATTTTCAGAGAAGGTCCAATAAATTCAATATTGTTATTATGAAAGTTTTAAAGCAGTTGTTGACTGCTTATATACTGTTTGACTTTTACAAATAGAAATTAGCGAGATTAAATTTATTATCGTTGTTTTTAATAGAAATTACTTTCAGATTTGAAGTTCTTAGTAAAGTAATAATAAAGTCCTCCATACCAAATCCGTCAAGGCGGCCAGTCACAGCGGAGTCTAGCCATCTACGCAGAACAGGATTATAGTGATTAAAACTACTTTTACGGCATTTTAATCGCGTTTATTTTTACTTTTTATTTACTTTTATTTTTAATTCCCGACGTTTCGGGTGCTTTCCAGCACCCATGGTCACGGGGGACTGAGATGACTGACGTCCCGATGTCATTGGTGAGTTAAACCCGGAGTACCTTCAGCTTTTTTAATTATTGTAATT